TTTTCAAGATCACTAAAACACGATGCATGCATGCACCTTAAATACTATTACCCTAATAATAAATGACGGGTGGACAAGCCCAAGCCTGTTTACATAAATGGACTATATAATATAATGCAATGAAGCAACACAATATTCCTAACACCATGGTTTGAGGGATTCGGACACACTCTTAGGTGTGTCTGAACTAAAACTGAGGACTTGGTATGAAAATTTTCAAAAGAAAATCATCTTTTATAAAAAGGTTTTTTAAAAGAGAAAAGGGTGTGGTGCATGCAATCAGTCGAGCTCAAGTAAGTTCTCCCAAATTACCCATACACGTTTATGTTGTGATATGAATTGTGATATGTAAACTGCATGCTAGATTAGGGCTAAGGATCTAGGAAGGATGCCTTGTATGTCTACTATATGAGCTTATTGAACTGCATGCTAGTACTGATTAGTTAGTGATATGAGAGCCTGATTACAATATGCTTGGTTTTGTTTACTCGACGCCTGAATGCTGCTTGCTTCGTGATTTTAGGAGTTTTAGTTATCTATAACTAACTAGTAAATGAATACACTAAGTTACATATTACAAGGAGTAAATAATTTCATAAGGTTAGGTTTAGCCTTATTTCATAGCTCTTGTTTGAGTCCAACCGTTGTAGGGAAAGACCTCTCATTCAAATAATTATCTAGTCTTAGTAATATGTAATGGTATTCGCGAGCTAGTAAGGGAAAGGTTGCAGGGACTTCTTATGCAACTGATGGTAGAGAGTTGGTCAGAGATTACCCTAGGGTAAGCCTAGGATGAGATTAGCGCTGAGAGTAGTAGTAGAGAAAGGGACTTGGTGGAGTCAAGGAAATTATTGAGGAAAGTATGGATAGATGTGGAAGGTAGTATAGGCCCATACTACTAAAAGCAGATGATCCGTACTCGATTCAAGGAGGGTCGAGATGAACCCAGGGAACTTGTGTGTGTGATCCCTCGAGTTATGATGAGTATCCCGATGATTGTTATGGTGTATTTTCAGTATGGTGATGCTACACACTAGACCAGTTGGTAGTTCAGGCACAGGCGAGGGATCCGGCTAAGGCTCTGGAGTCGGGCAACTCGATGATCAGATGAGGGAGTTCATTTAAGATCGCGTGCAGTATCATTGACCAGACTCCTGTAATCTTCAGTACGGTCAAGGATTGTATTTTGGAGATTTTTAATGAGAGGCTGGGTGCATTCCGTACCAAGATGGTGGCCATGAAGGGGCGCACACGATGACATTCAGGGACTTCTGAGCTTGTAGAGCTCCAGACTACCATAGGGCTAGGGACTCCATTGCTAGTAGCGGGTGGTTGGCAGATGTCGCTAATGCCTTTCTCACCAATCGTTGTCCCGAGCGGAACAAGGTCCGACTTGCTTCCTACCTCCTGAAGGACAGGGCATGCGATTGTTGGGATGAGGTGGGATGAGCTATTAGAGATGATGCCACTATTGATGCGATGACCTTAAGTGATTTCTCGACCAAGCTCAGGTTCGAGTTCGCACTTGTGATCGAGTTTTAGCAGCTTGCGCGGGAGTTTCAAGATCTCTAACATACGACTAAGACGGTGACTGAGACCACCGCCAAGTTCAGATAGAGGGCCTTTCTTGTTCTGTAGTATGTGGTGGATGAGGAGATGAAAAAGGCCTGGTACCATGAGATGTTGATGATTGGTTTTGAGCATTCTAATACTCCTATGGTGTACATGCTGATGGGTTGTATACAAACAATCCTATGTGTGCATGCAACCCTAGAGTTGGATCTATGTTTTCACTATTAGTTATACAACTTTATGAACACAAAAAGAAACTTGGCATGCTACTATTATTTTCGAAATTCATATATAAAAATAGAATACATACCTTTTGTTGTTATATAGCAATAACAACTAGTTCCTTGAATTTCCTTAGCTCTTGAAAGCAAGTACCACAAGTGTAGTACCTCTAATGGCTCACAAACACACTAGGTGAAAGGTTGAATATGGGAGAGAAGCGAGAAGGGTATCTTGACCTAGATTTCATCCCTTTTAGGGTTTCCCAAAGCTTGGTGAAATCTTAGTGCCTTAGGGTGCTATTTATACTTAAGGCTAACTAGGGTTTCAAGGTGTAAACCCTAATCCCTTAGCTTAGGGCCTAAGCAAATCCATGGACTCCTTTCCTTAATCCCTTGGACAAAAACTCCTAGATCCTTCTAGGATTTCTGTTCAAGCCTTAATAAAGGTGATCCAATGGCCCAAAGCCTCAACTATTTAATAATTACGAAATAGCCCCTACACTTTCAGTTAGTTCCTTTAATCCCAAAATTAATTCTAAAATAATTTTTGATTAAATACTAACTAATAATATGATTCCAAATTAATATATTATTCATATAATATATTAACAAATCATATTTATACCCAAATTTATTAATCTTAACAATAAACCAGCCTCTCTCCTCAACAATCATCCTGTCTAGTCACAAGTGTGAAGGCAACCCAAAAGAACCATGCACAATCGGGTAAAGTATATACCAAAATAGTTATGGACTTAGAAATTAATCCAACAGTCTCCCACTTGGATAAGTCTAATAACTATTCTGCGTATAACCTCAGATCCTGATTAGCAATCGTAGCTTTCAAAAGACACTGACAACTCTGATCTTATCAGAAGCGTGTCCTTTAGATAAGGGATCATATATTCCTCCATTATTGATATCATATAGACTTGAGACATGGATTTTGATCATTCTCTTAGTCTATGTTCTGTTTCCCAATTTCCGATTTATGGCGACTGACAACAGACTACAATTGAACACATCAAATTAGTCTCGGCTTAGCCAAGTGCTTACGTGCCATCACTAAATCATCGAGGGGCCCACAAATATCGCTTTCACCCTACTTTGGATAAAAGGAACAGATAAACTTTGATTTAATGCTTGCTTGCACTCACTTACCAAATCACACACAACAATATGTTTTATAACACCAAGTTACTGGTGCGTTTACATATTATCAATGTGTAACCGATTCGCAAGATACAACTCACACATCTCGGTTTCAAGAATATAAGATGTTATCATCTCACCAATCACTCATGATACAATTCATGAAGTGATCCAAGTGAGCGTGGGTTTAATCCAATGCTCAAATCATATTCATAAGCACTCATGAATATTGCAGCAAACATTTTCTTATGTCTAATACACTTTAGACAATCCACACACCAATTCACGATAGTCTTCATTCATACCTACTTCCAACATATGAAAGATTGTGGTCCGTTCGAATAATTTGATTATTCTGAAATAATTAATTATTCAGGAAGTCAAAACATGCAAAGTGAAACAAATGAATAATACTAATCCCGTATGGCCCCAAACATTGGGTATAAATAAAACATTTTATTTAATCAACATAGTGATTACTCATTATTTGTTGTTTCGGGTAATCAACTTCTTTCTTGAATTATTACTACACTTGTCCCATGTTCTCAACATGCACACAATGTTTACTTATAGTCCTTACTTTGTGAAACATATCAAATGAACACATTTCCAATCATACTCATTTTACTACTCCCAATCCTTATCACAAGTGTAAGAATATCAAATTCTTGCCACTTATAGAATATGCTAGATTCTAACATTTTATCCAATGATCCTTTCATAAAGTCATAGCTCAAAATCATCAAGACTTGGCCAATCTCTATCAGAAAAAATTCTATAGATATGATGTCTCTCACTCAAAGTACATTCCTTTGAACATCCTTCTTGCATAAAAGTTTCTAATCTAGAAATATATTCTCAATAATCAGCTCTCAATATGGAAAGATTTCCATACTTGCCATATGACAAATCATTCTTAATAGAATCTTATCTATTCATAATAATGTCGATATGGTCCATCCAATACCATACTTCCAACTACTCACAAGCGACCAATCCTCAGTGAACTTTGGATCGTCCTTTGATAGTTGTTTAATTATCTTAGTCAAAACCGATTCTTGTCCTTTTTCCCTCTTAATGCGCTAGACATTTGGAAAAATTTTAGAATGGTCAAATATTATAGCATTTGCAATCGATCCTATACCCGAAGCGTATGGGACACGATGCATAATGTCTTACATAAAGATACAGTACTTTATCAATCTTCTGCCATAATATCTTATGTGTCACGTTCTAATTATGAAGAGGGATGCCATAATCATAATCGAAATTTTGAGAACGCACTATGTATCCTTGACTAAATTTGTTAACATTCTACAACCTAAGCCTTTAGATTTGAAATGAAGCATAATATTCTCTCCCTTAATTATAGCAAAACAACTTTTCAAACCTTACGACTTTGCAAAGTATAACTCTTGTTTTCTATAATTAATATTGCTAACTTGTAATACTTGCCATAATAATCATACAAGCACTACAAGAAAAAGACCCTTTTAGGACGTGCAAACCACGACACTCATTGATTTATGTTACGCAAAAGAGAGTGACATTAAAAAAGTGTCATCTCTTCAAAAAAATTTAGGATTTAGGTCGCGCATTATTGAGTGCCCTTAAATTAGTGTTATAAGAAAAAAAAAATTAAAAAGACGGAGGGCACTGTATCTTAAATGCGCGTCCTCTATGGGTGTCGCTTTATAATTTTAATGAACACACACGTTTAGTAGGGGGGGGGGGGAATGAAATCCCAAAAATATTTTAAAACCTTGCTTCTCACTCTCTCCTTCTCCTTTTCTCTGCAACCCCTAATCCGCCTCCACCACTACTTTATCCTTAAGGAATAACACAACCAAGCTGGTATCTCAGATCAACTACTTCGGCATGAAATCCCCAAAAAAATTAAAACCCCGCTTCCCACTCTCTCCTTCTCCTTTTCTCTACAAACCCTAATCCGCCTCCACCACTACTTTATCCTTAAGGAATAATACAACCAAGATGGTATCTCAGATCAACTACTCAGCATCGAGTTAACCCCAACGTGTATAGTTGTTGCGGAAGATGGAGAAGGTCGAGAAGAAGATATTGAGGTTCTTACAGAGCCCTCTTCAGGCTGAAGTCCTCGCTGACGTGCATCATGTGAGATTCGAGACCACCAACTGGTTTGATCGACTTGAGGGCTCCGCTCAGAGGCTGAAGTAGTGGATCGGGTCCATGAAAATCAGAGGGAGGTGGTGAAGGATGGTGGTTGGAGGAGCCGATGAATAAGATGAACGAGGAGTAATATGAGGGTGGTTTGGAAAGGTTGGAATGGAGCTGGGGAAGAGGAAAGTTAAAGTTATGCTTTGCTCCTAACTTCATTTTCTGTTTTTTTTTGCTGCCTCTAAAGTGTTCGACGAAATGCTTATGTAAAAGTTATGCTTCTCTCCTGAAGAATGATGATAATCCAACATCAACTGCTCCAAGAACTTTTATCAATCAATTGCCTGATTGGATCATGCTACTTGCTGCTATCACAACCATTTTCTTGGCTGCTGAGAAGCAATGGATGATGCTAGATTGGAAAACTAAACGCCCTGACATGCTTTCGGATCTTGATCCTTTTGGTTTAGGTAGAATGGTTGAAGATGGGTTTGTTTTTCGTCAAAAATTTACATAGCATTCATATGAAATTTATTCCATTCCTACATGACCATGGAATGTAATTACTATTCCTGATTCCATTCCATCCAAGCAAACACTATCTTATATATTGATGTTAAGTTTGTGTTCCCTCTTCATGTTATGTAAATGTTATCCAATAAAGGAAGGAGTGAAAATTTTGTAATTTGATATACATAAATACTCCATGATTTTTAACTTTTCTTGCTAATTCTGTGTGATACATATAGGTTGGTGTATCTGTTGTGGATCGATTCACATTTTATACATTAGCTTTCTTTGAAAGGCCTAATATGTATGACAATGCATTATTAATCAGGTATAAAAAAATGTTGCATTTTGAAAAATCTATTAAAGTTTTCTCGGCCTATTTTACTTCATTTTTCTTTGTTGTTTTGCAGTCTGTTTGGTTCATTTAATCCTAATCTACTGCTGTCAACTGCATATTATCGAACAGATTTATACCAACAAGAATTGGAGAAGGTATGCCATTTTTCATCACATCTCACCCTTCCTGAAAAGGGAATTTCTGTTTTTTAAGGTCTAGGCATTCATACCACTTATAGTAGACCCTATGGCTTATTGGTCTCTATAGATATGTTGTATCACTTTCATCGGTTGTCTTTTTTCGTCCTTAAAATACTTTTCATGATACATTTTGTCCCTAGGACGTAAAACCATTAAGTTGACCGTTTTACCCTCATATTCTCCATCTCGTTCATCTCTTTCTTCAAACTCCTAGAACCTAAGAATCAAATTCCCCAAAAATTGATGGCACTTGTTATTTTTGCAAAATGATATTTGGTGGTTTGGGTTTTGATTTATTGAGTTTGAGTTGTGTGTGTTTGTTGTTCAGGTACCCGTGACAAATCAATCATACCCTTAACAGCAGAAGCAGCCAAATCTGTCAAGTCAAATGTATGTTCAACCTAGTCAAACATATGTTCAGCCAGCAAAAGCCTATCAAAGTACAAGTGCTCCTCATTAACCTATTTCCTCATTTCAGAATAAAGGATTGGGCTTAGGTGTTGATCAAGAGCGTGAAGGGGAGCAGATTGATCGGGCTTCACTGAAGAATGTTCTATATATATTTATGGAGATAGGAATGGGACAAATGGACTACTATGAGAATGATTTTGAAGCATCCATGCATCATGATACAGCAGCATATTATTCACGCAAGGCTTCCAACTAGATTCTAGAAGATTCTTGTCCAGCTTATATGTTCAAAGTATACATCTAATACCCTTTTAGATCTTGAAAGTAAACTTATATTTAAAGATTATATTTTGTAAAATGCAAGAATCTTTTTGGGAATTTCAGGCAGAGGAGTGCTTAAAAGGAGAAAAGGACAGAGTGTCTCATTATCTTCATTCTAGTAGTGAGCCAAAGCTTCTTGAGGTTTGTTTTATCATTTTTTATTTTAAAATTTTGGGAAAGGAAGTTATTTATTACTCAAATACAGGACCGTGATTTGATCTTGTTCTTGTTCTGATCTTCAGTCTTCCTATAGTTTCTTCATTATTAATTTTTCTGGAATCTTTTCTAGGTAGTCTTTGGTAATGGAACTGTGGACGTGGTGGTGGTGGTTATCGTGGTGGTGCCCCAGTCAACCAAATCCAAACCTTAATTTAGTTGCTGTTGGGCTTACTCCTGGGTAAATGAGAGTCAAAAAGATGTGTTTGCCCCTCTTTGTTATTGTGAATCTGATTTTTTTGGTGTAATTAGTGGTATTGGTGGAGCTGAAGGACCTGATCGTATATTTGTTGGGGGTTTACTGTATTACTTTACTGAGGTACAGATAAGAGAGCTGCTAGAATCCTTTGGGTATGTAGTTTTATAATTTTATGATTTTTTTTAAATATTTTTACAAAATGAAAGTTTAAGGAATTTTATTGATTCACACCGTTGTGTGGGTTTGATCTTGTGAAGGATAGAGATACTGGAAACTCTAAAGGATATGGTTTATGTGTCTATGAGGTAACTATCACCATTTTTTTCTTTAAAATAAACAATATGAATCTGTAAATATTCTCAGTTTTTAAACATTTTTGCACCTTGTCCTAAGTTAAGTTAAAAAAAAGGGCGTTATTGTCAGTTGTTCTTTCTTCCAATAAATATAAAATATTTGGGAGTTATTTTCAGGATCAAGCAGCCACAGACGTTGTCTGTGCTGCACTTAATGGCTTAAAAATGGGGGATAAAACACTCACAGTCAGACGTGCAACCATCTGGTTTTTATTTAAAATATCCTATTATTATTATTATTATTATTATTATTATTATTATTATTATTATTATTATTATTATTATTACTATTATTAATTTAAATTTTTCTCAATCCATGTGGGCTTTATTATTATGAACAAGTTTATGATAAATCTGATGTTTTTGGTGCTCTTTATTTTACTGCAGCGGGCAGATGAAATCTGAACAGGAGACCATTATGGCCCAGACTTAACAACATATAGCTATGCAGGTACTATAGAGTTTATTAATATTATTAATTATTATTATTACTATTATTATTATTTATGTACTTTCAAAGCTTTGAAACTTCATGTTTTTATTTGTCGAAAATGGCCTTACAAGTTGGAGGGTTTAATCTTCCCGGATTACCTATATTGCCTGATGAGATTCCAACTAAAGTTTTGTGTTTAACTAAGGTACCTTACGTTTTTTCTTTTTTAAAAAGAAAAAATGTAAATGATGTTTAAATAATATTTTTGAGAAAATGTTAGGAGTTGGTTAATGTGGAAAACCTCATTTTGAGAAAATATGATATTTTTGAATAATTTTGGTAAACACAAGCATGGTTTTTTTGGTGCAATGAAGGTGATCAATGCTGATAAATTGATTGATGATGGAGAATATGAAGAAATATTAGAGGATATGAGGGAAGAAGGACGAAAATTTGGTAAAAAAAAATACTCGAATCCTTTTCTATAATTTATTGAACATTTTATTCACTTCTTGGTTTTTTGAGGGCAGTGAGAGTAATTCTTTTCCAGATTTGGGTGAAGGTCTGGATAGTGGTCTGAATGGTGCATGTCTCAAAGTGTGTATTCCAATATCAAGTTAATCTACTCGTATTAATTCATGTCTCAAAGTGTGTATTCCAATATAAGGTATCATGATTTGTTTATTTACAAAATTTTGAAATAGGGTCTTGTTCAATGCTTTAGCTGTGTTTTCTCTAAAGGAGATCAACTTATCAAAAGTAAGTTATTCTTTTCACCCTTTTATTTAATACTTTTGTGATTGAATGAAAGTATTAATGAAAGTATTTGACAACCCTTTTTCTGTAAATGATGTTGTGATTGTGGGAGAGGTGTTGTGTTTTTCTTTGTTGCCAGGTAACCTTTTCAACAACTGCATTCTACTTAAGCAGGTGAGTAATCAAGATTAAGGGAGACTTGTAATCATGTTTGGCATTCCTTTCCAGTAAGACAGAGTTGTATGATAATTTGTTAGTTTTATAGGAATGTATAACACATGTTAGCAATGTATTATTTTTGTTTAACATTTGAATGATTCTTTGTATGACATTATAATTTGTGCAATTTATTTTATTTTTTGAGTATGAAATTTTATTTTATATTATGCAATGGATTGTATTTTTCGTATATTGTATTTTATTTCTATTATAAGAAATTAAATGCAAATTTAATTTAAAAATTAATAAATATATAAATTTAGTTTTTTTA